GAAGAAATACAACACATTGCTAGGTGGTGCTGCAAGAGTGGCAAAGTCCCAAGGGATGCCAAGTAGCGCAGGAGCTAGCAGTAAGTAGAACAGCCTTGCGCTTGAATAGGCAAGGGATGCAACTGTAAGGGCGCAGCAACTTGTTCCTTGTTTCAATGAATTTCTGAATTGTCCAACGTCACTTTCGCGCAAACGGGGTGGTTTGATTCAGGGCCGTCTCTCATCCAACACTCTAGGAAACAATCTCGGACAGGCGCTAATCCCGCAGTGCTTGGCCGAGTTGCCTTTTGCAAGTGTGCAGCAGCCCCGAAGTAGTTCCTGTGGACCTGCAGCAGGGGGAGGGTCGAACTAGTTTAGACACTTGAAAGTGGTCAGTTTGTCAACGACGCATATGTTGCTGTATCGCCCACCACCCTCATGTTCCAACGTGACAGTGATTGACCACACAATGTTGTGTGTCTCTTGGACCTTCCCGCGAACCCTGCTTGGGCAGAACCACGGGCCGCTGTCTCACACTGCCAGTTGCAACTGTGGCAAAGGTTCAAAATGCCTGACTCAATTGCGCCACTGAGTCAACACATTTCAGCAGACACACGCCTTACTTTCACCCCACGCCCTTGGCCGCACCGCCTCGCGCGTCCAAGGCGATGAAGAAGAACTTCTGGGAGGTCTTGGACGGGAGCACGGTGCTAAGGCCTGGAACGCAAATTATGTTTTTTACTCTGAACAAACTTTCTCGCTAGGCCGCAGCTCTCGAAAAAGGAGAGCAACGCCTTTTGGGTGACTGGATGCATTTAATCGCTGAACCCCGGGTTGAGATCTAGTTCGGTGTCAATCATAACTCAGTGTGAGCCCAACAAACTTGGGAGAGTCAGAAACGAGTGATCAAATCACTGCATTACTTGCCCTTTGCATTTCCACCCGGCGACACAATCAGCGCGAACCTCAAGTTGCAAGTAAAGCCGCACGGGTAATATGGCCAAGAAACATGGCTTGTGCTGTGTAAATCCTGGTCTGACAAGCCGCTACGATGTGTCAGCTGTTGAAACCCAGTAGTTTGAAATGAGTTTGCAAACAGTCACCCACTCTTTCTTTTGAGCTTGCGGCCAAGCTCAGGTTTACATGAAAGCGATCAACCATGCTCTGCTGTGGGCGACAGACCAGACCTACCTTGACTTCATGCCGGAAAAGCAAGAATGTCTTGCACTGGGCTCCGACTTGATTGCGTACAATGTCCCTCCCCTAGAGTCCATGAAGACCATCCGGTTCGAGCCTTTCCTTAGAAATTGACGGGAAAGCGGGATGGTGCTACTAAGAACAAAAAAGGTCAGCCCTGTGAACATACCAGCCAGCTTCGAAGGTCCAATTGCGCTCCGAAGCAATCATCCGTTTTGTTCAGAAAACCGCCTTTGAATTTCTGGTTGAATACAAGGTGTCTCAAACTCAGCTTGTTATCAGTCAGACAAATGCCTTGAGCCTGTCAGTTCTTGTCTGATTATTAAATTATACTCTTTCCCTTTTTGCCTGGAAACAATTGGGCGAGGGTGCCAAGATTCGTAAAAGCGAACAACTGCCAAGTTGCACTGGAGCATGTGGATGGTTTGGCCACTCTTCCACAACGGCCCCCTATTAGCCAATCGGTGCCCATCAAACCCTGAACCCTGAACTACCCTGCAGTCCCCAAACACAACCTCGGGCCACTCAAACCAAACGTAACGCAATTGGTTTTGAAATCTGAGGTGGTCGACGAGGAGAAGTGCCAGGGGAAGGCGCTGAACATTGTGCTGCAACAGACGCACTTGCGTGGCATGTCAGATGCTGACTGCTGCCACATCAAGTGGAATTGCGTCAAAAATGCAATGGCTGGAGTGCAGCTCGATCTGGTCGCTTTGAAGCTGACCATTGTTTGCGCCTTGGCTCTTGACATTTTGAGTTGTGATGACTACCGGATGGTTGAGCTTGAAGCTTGCTGAACCTGGCAACTAGATAACCGTGACATGAATGTCACCAATTCTGGCATTCGCCGCGTTTTTCCTCCAAGTTCAAAAGTCAAACTTGGTGGCCGCCCTCAAAACCATGGTTCGTCACAGACTGAAAAGCACAATCTTCTCTGAAGTAGCAAGACCGATCTGTAGGCCCGAGACTAGGCTACAGTAGTCTCAACACAGACCTTCCTTGACATCTGAACTAAGGCAATCACCGACATGGCTCGTTCTGCAGTGGCGACCGGCTAGAATCCCGGAAGCAGTGCCTTGAGAAGTTCTTGAGGAATCAGGGCGAGGAGTACTACGCGTCGCTTGCAGAGGGCGTTTGCTTCGATCGTCAGATCGACAGCGTGGACATCGCTGATCTGCAGCTGGACGCCGAGCAGTTCTTGTCGGAGAGCTGCGTCAGCAAACGAGGGGAGTTCGTCATTTGGCTTGCTCGCAAAACGTTTGGGGTGTTGCATACTTGATATGTCACCCTAATTAAATCGCCTTGGCTTGATAGGGCGTTCTGTCCCTGCTGCAAGTACCCCTCCTTCGCACGCAGGGCATTCTGCTGACAGCTTGACCAGTGTTGAATGCTGATTTGGGGACGAACCAGATTTACTAAGCCACGAACACTCATGGTCACGCACTGACCACACAGTACTTATTGCACCAAGGTGAAAAACAAAAGCTGGTTCTCGCTCCATCGGGGGCTACGTCAGCTGTGTTGGGACTGGACGCTGGAGCGGGAAGCAGTGAGATCAATGCTGGTCATTGTGAGGCTCTTAGTCGCGCTGGCGTTGATTCCGAAACCCGATGGGCGCGTTCAAGAAACAACGGTTGTGTTCAGCAACAGCTGGCGCTTGAGAGTTTCAAGAAGCAGTGGCAGGTATATCCTACCCATTTCTCTGTTTCTGAGTAGTCCCCATTATGACTATCGACCCTTTGCGCGTCCCAGCCTCCGAGGGAGAAGGAGTAGACGACGACGAAGAAGCTTCGGAGCCGGAGCGCGATGCTGACGGAGACGTCCACATGTCTGGGCCTGGGCCAAGTGGTGGCGGCGCTGCCGGGAAAAAGCGGCAAACAAAGGCTGACTTGTACAAGTTCTTTTCAGGAAAAGGCCCGAATCGCATGGTTTTCAGCTTCCTCAACGACCGATCCCTGCAACTGTGCGCTCTCATCATTACTCACATCAGCGGGTCACTGGAGAATGAGTACTGCCAGGACTTGGAAGCAATGCAGCAAGGCCCAATTGGGCAAGGTGTGTGGGCTGCTGAGCGGGCGGCTGGAACACGCTGGTGGCACACAGCCAAATGCATTTGCGATGCTACCTACGGAAGTGATCTGTTACAGCAACTGCGGTTTCGGCGTACCCAGGAGCAAGTGCCTCTTGACTCCGATCTGGCTTGGCTTAAGTTGGAGAAGGAAACCGCAAAGGTTGCTGTTGACTTCGGCCACGAGTTGCTGTGCCGGTTCGTGTGGGCTCACAGTCCCTTCATGCTCAACTTGCCGCAGGCCTTTGCTGTCTACCTCTTGCCCGAGCCTGCCGGTCGACAACAAGCGCTGGGTTTCTTGCAGCCTGTGCTGGATGCAGTTTGGGCGGCGGAGAAACATTGGCTCGAGTGTCAATCTACTGACGTGGACAAAGCAAGCTCCATGGAAGCTGTGTTCAACCAGATTGGCTGGTGCCACCATCAACTTGCTCGAGAAGTGCTGGCGTGCATGCTACAGTGCGGGTTCGCTCCGGACAATCTTCGCTGCCGGCGTCTTGCTGCTAAACTCTTCCGGTCTTCGTCTACGACCAAAAATTGCTTGGAAGATGTGTTCTCGCATCTCCAAAGCATGGTTGGAAAGGGCACTTCCAACAAGCGCATGAGCGACTGGAGCCGCTACTTCTACGCAACGACTGCCAGAAGCCCGCGTTCTGGTGGCATGCAGACGGTGCTCCCTGATGCGCAAGACTGGGACGCAGGTTCCCACACCGCTTTCGCAATGCTGCAAAACTTCGCCCCAATGTTCGACACCAACAGCACAGCTATGCCAGAGCCAGCAACGGAAGACAGCATTCTTTGGCCGAAGCCAAGTGCGCTGCAGAAAAAGAAGAAATGGAAAGCAGCAGGACCAGAGTCAAACCAAAAAGGAGCTGCCGCCATGATCTACTTGCACAACGATGCCCATACACGCTGGGCCAACTTGGGCAACGTGTGGGCAAGTCCCTTGGCTGACCCGCCCACACTCAGTTCAATGCTTTCCAATCTTTGGGTCCCCTGTCAAATTGTTCCTGACTTTACAGTGCTGGTGCTGTCTTGCTCTTGACCCAGGCTGCCTTCTCCAGAAAAGAGAAATTTATTTGCACACGGAGACTGGGGACTACTTCATGTGTTTGGGATTCAGAGCCTACGCGTCAGCAGCTGTGAAGTGCAAGGCAGTCTCTGCGCAGGGACAAGACCCTTGACAAACATGACCAAACATCTTTGCGTTTGATCTACTCTAAACAAACCAACACCACTCCTGCTCGATGTGTTCTGCAGGGTCAGCTGACCGTTTCGCTTGAAATAAACACCTCACCCATTCATTCGCAACACCAATCAATCGCAATGATTCGTTTGAGGTGTTTTTGAGAGTCGACTTCGCGAACGACGTGCGGCCTGACTTCATGTTCAACTACACGGTGGAGGAAAGCAAATGCTGCTTTCGCCACATGCCAACCGATGTGGTTCACCCAGCCTGCCTACCTCCAGAATTGCCACGGGGCATCTTTTTGCGGGTGACCAACTTGGAAGGTGAATGGTTGCTCAAGGCTGCTGTGAGAATTGGGAGCTACTTCACAGTTCCTCAACTGGACAAAATTGCTGAACAGCTTCGTTTGCCTGAACTTGCAAAAGGTTCTGGAGCTCATGGCAGCCCAATCAAGATTGACAAAGCGCGGCAACTGGTGGAACACTTGTTCAAAGACAGTGAGTCTTCCGAACGCAAGCAAGAAATGATAGCAGGCATCATGAACATGTCAACAGCGCAATTACGAGAAAAGGAGCGAAGCATTCTTGAAATGTGCGAACATTTGGATGTGGAAAACCAGCAATGCTTTGATCAGATGAAGCGATGGGCAACAGACAAGCTGGTAAAGAAAATCCGGCTTGAGGGCCAACAGAGCATACTTGAGAAACAGCAAAAGGCCAACAAGTTCCGACAGCGCTTTGCTGCTTCCCTGCAGTTGCGTGCCAAAGGCAAAGGGAAAGGCAAGGCCCAACATGGGCCTCCACCCGCTCCTGCTGAAGCCAACCCTGGACCAGCCCCAGCAGAACCAGAAACACCAATGATGAGCCACCGTGAACACCCTCCAGGTGTTGTTCGAGTGGTTGAATCCCGCCGAGCACATGTGACGCCGCCAGAATTCAAGGACCTGCTTCCTGGAGGAGGGGCGTACGCTAGCCAGTTCACGCCATTTAGAAACGATGTCCCAGGAAGCAACTACTACCGTGTTGGGTACAAGATCAGCGCCTTGGACCTGGTTGCAACATAACACCAGCTTTAGTTTGGAAAACGGTGGCCAAAGAAGTGTTGCAAACTTCGGTGACAACACAATTGATGGCTGGTCGATGCCCCTTCCTTTTAAACGCCTGGACATCTGATTGCTTCCAACTAAGGTGGGGCTCCTGGCCCTCAGTCGTGTTCCAGAGCTTGGCCTACTAAGCAGTGCGCTACGGAATTGGAAGCTTTGACGATTGTCCTGAAATGGACATATGACCGATGGAACAAGAACAACAAGAAGACACCCTTCGAAATGCCCTTTGGTTCGAATTGAGACTCAACCCGCATTTTTTCTCTACGGTTTCCCTTTTCATTACTTAGTTGCCCACTGACCTGCGAAAACTGAGGCCGGAGCAGAGTGTGCTGGAAGAGTTCATCCGCCATCAGTTGTAGCAAGCTACCAGTGCACAAGCCACTGACGGGACTTGTTGATACAAACTTGGATCGTGTCAAAGATGGAAAACCACAACGCTACGTGCTACTGCCGGATGACTCATGTGTCCTATGTTGAGATGTTGAGTGGGTTTACGGTTTGGGCGGTCCGTCAAATGTGAATGCTTTGAAGTGAAGCGCCATGAAGCCCTCATCATGCTCTGATGGGAACAGTTGCACGCTTCACTTTTCAGGTTCGAGCCTTGGTTGAGCCACCAATTGGTGCTTCCACATAGCGTGAACAATGACATGCCTCATTTCATATGTAGGAATGTCATTATTGTGGCAAGGTTAATTAAGCTTAATTAAGCCTAACTACTCCTAATTAAGCAAAAGTGGATTTTGCTTAATTAGGCTTAATTAGTCTTAATTAGGCTTAATTAGGCTTAATCAAGCTTAATTAGCCTTGCCGGGTGGTGTGAGGACTACAGGGTCCTTAAGACTTTGGGGGGGGGAGTTGAGGGGGGGAGGGTCTCCCACTTGGTGAGGGTAACTGCCTTGCTGCGGCGACGCACACCTGACAGGTAATCGCTGCCAGCGCGAATAGCGCACAGCTGCGCATGCAGTTGAATTCTGGAATGGCGAATAGCCCAAACATAGAAATACTACAGGGAGCATTGTCCATTATGTGAATTCCGGAATGAAAGCACGCGCGCGTTGGCGCCGCTACGCAAAAGATGCAGACGGACACCAGGTATTACCGATGTCGTCCGCCGCCGTGCCGTCCCCTCCCCTTGTTGACGTTCCAGTCCCCAGGAGGAGGAGGCACGGTCTCGGCCAACTCATCATCCGCACCCCAGGTAGGGGTATGCGGCGAGCTCGGATTCTCGAACTCGCGTGGATCACCCTGCATGTGCGGCTGCCAACCCTGCTGCATTGAGCCAGGCCACATTTGCGGCATCATGCCAGCCATTGGCTGTTGCATGTACCCTCCCATTGGGAAAGCGGGGTACATCGGACTTGGGAACGGGAAAGGGGCTGCCTGAGCACCCTTGTATCCCGACCCGCGAGCATCAGGCTGATACCCGCCAGTGGGAGTTCTCGATCTGGCGGATCCGCCACGACCGAACTGCCCTTGTTGGTAGCCGTATTGGCCACCCTTGCCTTTGTACTGATCACCTTTGTGACCCTTTCCTGGGAACTGGTCACCCTTGTGACCTCCGCCCTTGGGCCAGGATTGTGCAGGGGCTTTGCCCTTTTGCTGATCACCCTTTGACCTGGATTCAGGTCGCGGGGTAGCAGACCGTTGGTCTCCCCTAGGAGTGGCTGCCCGCCTGTGGTGCTTCCCAACCGGCGGGTCAGCAAAGACAATGGCGCATTGGCCGTCGCGCCGCGAAGCGGGGACCATGTCAACCTTATTGTCTTCGACATAAATGTATGCCTCAGCATACTCAATTGGGGCCGTGATGGATCCACCACTGGCCCGCAAAGAGTCGATATTCCAATCAAGAACAGTGGAAGCGTCGAAACTCGGATCTTCAGTATTGAAGTCCGTGAGGCGTCGCTCAGCCTGTACCAACGACATTATGATGTCCGCGCGTGAGGCGCCTAGGCCATACAGCGGAACCAAATACCCGTCCTCAATCCCGATGCGGTAGGCATCAAAGATATGCACAGAGAGGTAAAGGGCAAATGCTGAATTTAGACTGCCCTTTCTCGTCATATGACGACCCCATTGCGCCGCCTGTTGCGGGTGCTCGATTAAATATGCCATGACAGACATATTGTCGGGAATCGAGACGCCAGTGTTGCTCTCCTCGATGAGCAGCTGCTTCGCTACCCACCGCTCGAGAGCCTCATCACTCGCCCGCACACAAGCGTGAGTGTCCTTTGAGGTGACCTTTGCAACCTCCTGAAACGCAACTTGCACAATATCCGCATTGGGAATGTGCACAAGATGCGGCGCGCAGCGCAAACCGGTGATCATGCAGCTGACCACCTCGCGAATCGGGTTTACCGATGCCATGAGAGGGGCCCACGCGTCGGTCTCCCCTTCATGCCAGCTGCTGGGGCGGACTGCTTTGAGTTCGCTCAGCCAGATTGGCTGTCCATGCTTAACCAGAGCGCGGACGGTGCCTGGCACCCATTCACGATAGAAAATCGGCAGATGGCAACCATTGCATAGAATGGTGCCATACATGTTCAAATGCGCGCACCGAGGGCACCAGTAGTCATGCATGGGAGCATTGTCCCATGAAAATGACACCCCTCTCCGCGGTCCCTGAACATTCAACTCACGGACCGCCCAGGGACGGATGTATATTACATCCCCTTCCTGGTGCAGATAGCATGCGCGCCAGAAGGGCGCATGTATCTCCTCTCGCACAGCAATCAAACCGCGTCGGGTTTTGTAGATGCCGGCGGCTTCCTCGATGGCCATCCACTTTAGGTCAACGGCCACAACGACATGGCGCTTGTCCATGTACTTGACGCGGTCGTCAACATAAAATTCGCCCTCATTATTGGGGCTGGGCAACTTGAGGAAAGGCACCTTTGCGCCCTCCATCCCAATCATGATCTCCCCCCTGCAGACCTGCTCAGGTCGCATGGGGAAAACTGTGATGGCGAATTTGCCAGGCCTCCGGATGCACCTCGTTTTGAGGGCGGACCGATACTCGGCCATCGTCAGCAGCACGTATCCCGTATAAGGGACTTCTGCTGCTCCCATCGGCCTAAGCAAAGGCCCCATAGGCGTTCGGTCACGCAGTGCCCAACGCTTGAAAACTTTGAACGGCACGTCCCTCCCGATTAGGGTGGACCGCGCAAAAAGCACCTCATTCGGGCGCACACTCGTGCCATCTGTCCTCCAGACTGTCCGTATTAGGAGCTCGACTGGAGGGTACGATGGGCTTTCCTTTGCGAGAGCACCCGCCCAGGTCGCTACCTCGACACTCGTGCACTTGTGGATCCCGTATAGGGCCTCAAGTAGCGTTGAGATCAGAGTCATTGACATCCAACCTCCCAGAATGTCTGGAACCGTCCCAAACAAGAAGGGAGGCTGCTCACCGGGCTTCACGTTTAACCGCGTAGGGTCAGTGTTGCCCGACAAAACTTCTAGCAGCATTTGCGATTCCCTGGAGCTTCGTCCAACAAACGCCGACACATCCCTAATTTCGGGGAAAAAATGGAAGATGTCATTTCCGGCAGGACAGGCGATTCTGCCTGCTATCCCGCCCTGTGCATCAATCACAACCTCTTCACCCTCGTATGTGAGGTTGTAGGTGCTCGTAATCGGGCACACACCGGGCTTAGCCATCAGTGCCTCTTCCAACGACGCACCTGTTGGGAGGACGCCCTGTACGTGCGACTTGGTACCTATGGGACCAGTACTCGCAGACATAAGCCGATAATTTTCGGCACGAAAGAATGGAAAAAGGTTCTTCATCCTTTCAATTTCTTCTTCAGTGGTGCGCCACGCCTTTGCCTCATAGTAAGGCGGCTCCTGCTTTGAGGGCACTAGGTCGCGGTCACCCATTGATGAGAATTTGTCCACATATGGGCCCATCCCATCATCATCTACATGACTCTCGTGATCTTCATCCGAGACGTACTCCTTGGGCGGCTCGCCCAGAGCGTCCAGATCGACCTTACCAAGGTCGACCACGCCGGAGAATCCAGGACTCTCTGGATCCTCATGAGCTCATTCCTAAACTGCTCAAAGCCTCCGGCCTTGTCAATCACGGAGGTCGGCATTACGCCCTCCCATGATTCCGGAAACATGCACACGTTCGTAGGGGAAAACTCATCATCGGAAATATCCCGATCACGCTCCCGTACGTCGCTGATTAGCGTCACGTCCAACGAGCCGCCTAGGGCCTCGGGACGCGACGTTTTCGCCGGATGCGGCTTTGCGCTCTTTGACGCTACAGCAGCCTCATTGGCCGCTTTGTCCTTCTTCTCGTCACCCTTACTCCCCTCCTTGTCCACATCCATTTCGGATGGCTGTGCGCTCCCCGCTGCTCTGCCCATTGGCGGATCAGAGGGTTGGACAGGGGATTCCTTTGTACGGGCTTTGCCGTAATAATGCCCTGGGATCTGCACGTTCCCAGTGGAGCCACCGCCAGCCTCTCGCGGACGCTTGGCGGTGTGTGCCGACCCAGTATGGACAGCAGGCGCCGATCGCCTAGGAAGGCCCTTACTGGCCGACAGAGATGGAGGAGGTGGCTTCATTTTGGGAGCCGGCTCCGCCTTGGGCTCCGACTCCGGTTCAATTACGCAGGACTTGAGGTCGAAACTTTCAGACCTCAAAAGGCCCGCGCAATAGGAACGGAAAACGTCCTCAACTTCCCGAGCAAGGAACTCGGGATGATCATCCTCCCTCGGAGGTGTTCTCCAGCCGTCGTATCCATTGAGCAGATTCCTACCCACGATTTCATTGAATCGATACGTGCCCAAACCGGCATAGCGGTTGGCAGCCCGAAGAACATTACAAAATCTTTCGACCTTTTCGGTCGCCGCAATGGCCGCAGCCATCTGAGGGTGAATATACCCAGTTTCAATCATGCATCCCTGCGGCTTCGCGCAAGCATGATCTTGCACGCCACAGATTCGCGGCGGCCT